CTGTGCTCTACACCAGGGTTCCTCAACCTCAGCGACTTTAAGATGGGTGGACTTCAACTCCCAGAATTCCTCAGCCAGCCATGCTGGCTGAGGAATTCTGGGAGTTGAGGTCCACCCATCTTAAAGTTGCTGAGGTTGAGGAACCCTGCTCTACACCACAACCTGGTCGTGCAAGGGAGACAGGATGTCCCTCTCGAAGGGTGGGGGAAGCAGTTGTCAGGTGGCCAGCCAGCTGCGTCGCACTGTAGACCCCAAGACGAGTCTCATCTCTCCCAGAAAATACGAGACTGGACTGAATTGCTTAGGCTGAGCTTTGATCCTGATGCACCCTGAATTTTCAAGCGAAAGCTCCGTGCACATCAGCAGCAAGGCTGAGATCGCTCCCCCGATCCGGCTTCGCTCCCGACCCATAAACTGTGGCTCAGCGTCTCTCTCCCTGATGGTTTATGGGACTGTAAAATTTAAGCTGGTCCCATTAGACCGCTCTTGGCTCTGCATCAAGGGAGCGGGTGGAAAAGAGAGGCGAGGAGGTTCACAGCTGTCCAGATCCAAATCTGCTTTACAAGATCATCTGTTGAGAGGTGGAAGAAGGGGGGGGGGTGCAGCTGTGCCATAAATAAGGCTCATGGTACCCTCTGTAATTTTTGGAAAGGGGAGGGGGAACATTACAGAAATATTGGGTCCTAAAAGTGCATTCAGACTACAGTAAGCCGTTAATGTATAACCACGGAAACAAAGATTTTGTAGGGGGTCCAGACACCCGTTGGTAACTTCCCCGTGCTTTCCCACCACTTCTTCCATCTTTGTGTTAAGTTTAGAGCAGGAAGAAGACTGGTAATTTCAGAGTACTTTTAAATAGTCTGGGCTAAGGGCTGTCCATCTGGAAGTGCCTTAACCAGGCAATCCTGTGCATACTTAACAAAGAAACACATTTTGCTGTGTGTAGTGGATTTTCCAAGTAAGTGTGCAAGCTTAAGGGTAACTGGCTAGGTTCCCACAATAAGTCATAATGTTCCTTGGTTGAATGAAGTACTTGGTGTTTGTTTAGCAAACCATGACTAAACAAAGTATGATGTGAAGCTAGTCTGTCAAATATATATAAGATAACAGGCATAATCTTAATTAAGCACAGAGGATCCAGTTCAGGGTTTGTTTAAAAAACTCTGGGTAGAAAATGGGATGATATTGCAAAGCAAAGGGGAGTGGGGTGAGAAGTGCAACTGCCCCCATATGCAAAGAGTGAATTGATCAGAATTGAGCCCTCCATAGTATCACAAAAATCACAAAGGCAATTGTATGCTATTTAGCATAGCATTTAACCAGCTTTACTAATAATATTCTTCAGACAATATTTAACATTCCCTTCTGTCCTTAAAACTGTTTTACTGCAGTACCTAATATTTGTATTGTGCAATCTGAGTATTTTTACCCTGACTGTAATGGACTTCTGGATATTTTATAGAAAGGATATTATTGAGTTTCATGATAGATATCCAAATCATGATTATTTGCAAAACTGGAGGGAAGTAGAGATGTTGTGAAGGTTCTCCTGATTTCCAGAATTTTGTTTTTGCCACATAGGCAGTGAAGAATCCCAGCATTTTGGGGAGTGGTTCACGCTTGAAGACACTTGCCTTCAAATAGTATAGGTTGGAGGGAAACAATGCTTGGGAAAGGCTGTGGGAGATAACTAGGATTTAGATCACCGATCATCTCTGTGGCAGGAAAAAACGGTCTCCTTCTGGTCAAGCTCATCTCCTAGTGATTTCTGGATGGCTCGGATGCTATAAGGGGGAAAAGGTCTAGAATTTTTCTGCAGGAAGGCACAGAACTATTTTGATTTCAGATTATCAGGAATTCCTCAAAGAATATTAGAAAGGCACTGACCGACTTCCCAGAACAAGAGCGTTCCACCATTATCATCTATTGATTGGGTAGTTGTATGTTCTCTGGGCCACACAGTGGGACTTAAACTCCCAAGTCATGTTTTCCCATGAATTATATGATTACCTTGTAGTTATCATTGATGATGTTCGTTTCAGGGGGACCTAATTGTACATTCCATAATATAGTAAGAGTGAGGACTAATGGTTCGTAAAGAACAAGCTTTTCCCCTTTTGTAATAGCGCTGCCAACTGTAGAACAATTTCTTTTTTTTACAGTATCCCAGAGAAAGTCCAGATGTTTTCTGCATAGAATCTCCAGATGCATATGGTGTCTGGGTAAAAAAAATCAGGGTCCAGATTTGTCCTTATGAGGAAACAGACCCTCTTGCATTCGTCAAGCTCTCCAAATTTGTCTAATCCTATTTATATACAAAGCCTAGTCAGTATGACAGTATTGTTATCATTTTTCTACCAAGAATAAAGGAAGTAAGAAAATACTTAAAAGTGCCAAAAGGAAAAATAACTTTTAAATAGTATAAGCAATTCTATTACTTTTTACTTTAATTGTTCCAGGGAGGTCCTGCAGAGCCTGTAACTCAAAAGTCCAGCTGTGGTTGTACCTGTAACATCATTGTAAAATATAGAGCACAAAATACTTTCAACAACTTTACTGAAGGCAAAGGAAGAACCAGAGTAAACAGCCGGCACACTTTGCCTGGCAGAAATACGGTCTGGAGAGAATTTATGTCAATTTTTTTATTAGCCTAACAGAAAAAAGTCTGTAACGTAACCCTGTTTGCTTCCTACTGTGTCCTTGGCTGGGCATTGCCTCAACAGGAAGAATCTTTGTCTGCAGTGAGATACCAGTTAAGGTGGTTCCTTCTGTCTGAAGTTGGTTTATCACAATCAGGTTGACCCTGGAGCAAATGAAGATCTAGACTATAGAATTGTCTGAGGGCACCTCTATTAATTTCAGGGATTTAATGCATTATGGTGCAGGCAGAGGATGCTTTTCAACATACCCCTCCCTCCCTAAATTCCCTGCAGGCATTCTTACCTAATTCAAAGGAGGGCATATATTTCAGCAGGAACAGCTTTCCTTATTCTCGCGCAGCAAGCTTATGTGTATATATAAGCATTGGAAGCCATTCTGGGCCAGAATATTGGTTTATATGTGCTACTCTGCCTAGTAGCAGCTGACACAAGTCTCAGGAAGGTCTCCCAGCACTTTATATTCAAAGTCAAGTCTCCCTGACAGGGAGCTAATCTCCTGGTAATTTTGTGGGCATGTCCATGTGGTCTTCTTGGCAACAGTACAGAAGTGGTGTGCTTTTGCCGCCTTCTGATTTTAACGGAGAATGAAATCTGGGCCTTTCTTCCTTACAGCATGTTTTTTTCAGCCATCATAGTGGCTGTCCCCAATTTGGTGACCTTCAGATATCACTCCTATCATCCTCAAACAGCATGAGCATAATAAAATAGTAAAGTCCAGTGCCTTTTCCCAACCTGGTGCCCTTTGAGTAAGTTATGTTGGACTTGGATACTGATCCTACACTTAGATTCTGGGCACAATTCAAGTGTTGGCAATGATTTTTAAAGCCTCAATCTTGCGTCCAGACCCCTTAGAGATGGCATCCTGCCATCTTCACCACTTACATCTTAATATTTAATGGAGAGACCATTCTCTGTGTCTTAATTATGGTGACGGGATAGCTGATTGGGTAGAGGACAGTTGACTTGGGAGGCTGGGTTGGTATCCTGATGGCCTTTTGCCCTTTTTTTCTAAAGGTACTGATTCCACAGCAAGTATAACTTTTACCTGACATCTTTATTTTACCAGATGTATTTGCTTTGTTTTATAATACAACCTTTGTTCTTATTTTTCTTCCTTTTAAATGATGATACTACTTTGTGTTTTTTGTAATAGCTGTCGGCCATCCTGAGTGGGAGGTAAGCACACACACACACCCCCTCACAAACTGACTGGAGAGAACAAAGTTTGGAAAGGCTCATTAATCCTGACTTCCCTTGCGTGCACAATTATCTTATTATTGCACGTCTTGGCCCTCTTGTGATAAGGAGTGATGCAAACGGTGCAGCACTTGTGCAGTCCCACACGGCATAGTTGCGTGTTGATAGCTGAGAGGAAAATCTCTGCTTTCTACGGTGCTGCAGAAGTTGATTGGGAGTGCAGGAGGCTGTTCTCTGGATATGCCATTTTTACAGGAACTTGGTGCCTGCTCCTCATCATGGGGACAATCAGGCTGTCTCTCTGCTGCTAGCACAAACACCCAGCTGCGGAGTCCAGATGTGGGATAAGCAGGACAGGCAAAAGTTGGACTGCCAGCTTTAACAAATAAACTGAAATCAGGTAGGGCTGGTGTGCTTTATCAGGCATTTTGCTAGCAGGATGTGGCACATGGACTGGGTTCTCTTTGCGAGCGTCTTCTCCCAACCAGGGTGAGGCTACCTGGTTGAAGGGGGAAATACCACATGCCTTTAACCAGGGCATTTCCCGCGTGCTTCGATCCGTGCCAAATATCAAACGGGCCGGCCTTCCGTCGCCCACCCGCGGCCCCAGACTAAAGCCAGCCCTCTGAGCCGGAAGGGCCTTTGCCGTCTGGAAGTAGCAAACGCAACTCCCGGAAATTGGAGCCCGAACGTCGAATTGCTCCCAGTGCCGGCTTCTCCCGCCACCCTCCTCCCGAGCCATAAAGCCATCACAGGCCGCTGCGTAATTGCCTCCGCTCGGAGCTCCCCAGAGGCCTCCCCAGCCCAGGCACAGCAGATAAGCATCTCCCGGCCCGGCCTGCGCTTTGTTGCTGAAGAGAGGAGAGCAGCCCGGTATCTGGCCGGGTCCCTGCTCTCCCCCCCCGCCCCCTGCACGCACCCCTCCTCCCGCCCACACCTCGGCCAGGCTAGGGCGGCCAAGAGGCCCAGGATACGGAGGGGAAAGGCCCGCTGCGAGGCCGGCCCGGGCCTCCGGGGCCCGCAGCCGGAGGCGGCCCCGGCC